TAGAAGCGTATGTCAAGAAATAAAGGTTTTAAATTTGACAAGAGACCTCATGACCTTCACAATCAAATTTTTCTAGGCGTCTTCCAGTTTAAGGGTATATCCAAGAAGGCAAATCCACAAAGTCAATTTCGTTGACATTCAGAACTGCTCAGCAGAACATTGCTAAATGTTGATTTTCCTTATGCTTCGACTCAGACTCCAAAAATTTTATCTCTCAGTTTCTTCCTTAGGAGAGTCAGAAAAACACCCACAACAAACAATCAAAACAAACAAAAAAACCCACCCCCAAGCCCCATCTTTTTCAAACCTAAACATCTCAACAATAAATAGAAACATGATTCCCCTCATGGCACATTCTTAGACAGCTACACCAAGACGTGCGAAAGAAGATGCAGACTACTCACTGATATTGAATTTCCAACACTTCCTTCAAAATCAAAGCTATGGAGCTATGACCTTTCTCACCTGAAGAACATGTTGAGCTGGCCAATTGTTTTAATTTATTTCAATATGAAGAAAGGAAAAACCAAGGTAACAGCTCACTTTTATTTTTTTCTCAGACATCACAGGGATAAAATAATAGCGCAAAAGGCCAAAGGGCTCTCGACATTCACTGTTTTTGCTCCTGCTTATGAAAGCAGGAATTCAATCCATCTAGTCCAGGATGGAAAAGTTTATGGCTTCTTTCTAAATAATGGGATTCTACTAATCGTTAAGTGCAGCAAAGCCATGACAAAACTCTGGAACAAGCAGAAGTCTGTAGTTGTACAAACCCTGAAATATTAGGTCACAGTTCAAAATTACCTAGACAGGTTGAAAAAATAGTTTGACAGGAACCTCATGAAGTTCAACATGAAGTGCAAAGTCCTATACCTGGGGAGAAATGAGCTCGTGTACAAATATACGCTGGGGGCTATCCAACTGGAAAGCAACCTGGCACAAAAAGGCATGGGGGTCTTGGTGGACACCAACTTGAACACAAGTCAGCAGTGTGCTCTTGCAGCAAAGGCAGCTGCAATGGTCTCCTGGGCTATATCAGGCAAACAATTGCCAGCTGGTCAAGGAGGGGATCCTTTCCCTCAACTCAGCACTGGTGAGGCCACATGGGGGGAACTATGCCCAATTCTGGGCTCCTCAGTACAAAAGAGACATGGACGTACAGACAGAGCAGCAAAGAAGATGAAAGGATTGAAACATCTGTACTCTAAGAAGAGGCTGAAGACAGCTGGAACTGCTTAGCTTGGAGAAGAGAAGGCTCAGGGGGAATCTTCTATGTATATAAAATACCTGAAGGGAGGCTACAAAGAAGACGGAGCCAGGCTCTTTTCAGTAGTGCCCAGTGGCACAAGAAGAGGCAATGGGCACAAACTGAAACAGTTGGCTCCTTCTGAACATCAGGAAACTCTTCTTTACTGGGAAGGTGGCCAAGTGCTAGCACAAGTTGCCCAGGGATGTTGTGGACTCTTCACCCTTGGAGATACTCAAAAAGCCACCTGGACACAGTCGTTGTCAACTGGCTCTAGGAGGCCCTGCTTGAGTACAAGGGGTTGGACAAGATAACATCTGCAGATCCCTTCCAAGCTCAATCATTCTGTCATGCTGTGACAAGAACTTCAAAATATGAAGATAGCTGTTAAAATTTGAGCTAGCCCTCCCTGCATTCCAGCTCTCTTAGTTCTCATGACTATTCTACTGAGCTGTGAAGTGTGCACTTCAAATCGAATGAAGAATCAGGGCATCCCTGCATCTGGGGCCCTGCTTTTAAGCTTTTCTCATCAATATGAGGTTCGTACCTGAAAACAAACTTTCATGCCTTGTAGTCCATCAAAACAGCAAAACCATCTGTAATCCATAACCAGGTGTACATGCAGGTAGAATCTGTCTTAGTGTTTTATTAAGCCTTAAAAGACTCTAAAAACCTTGAAGGTGTTAATTGTTGTTTTCCCCTCAGGCAAACAAATCGTTATTAATAACCAATCAGGCTTATCTTAGTTTTACGGAACCACCACCTGCAATTTGTTTTTCAGAATTTTTGACAGCATCTAAAATACTTCAAATACAGGCTCTGAATTTGGAATTTGCAATAGATCAAGTCTAACCTTTGCTCCATCATCTATGAGCACTCATAAAGTAAACTTTTCTCTTGCAAGTATTTAGAAGAATCTAAAATCTAACATTGAAATTCTATTTCAATAAATTAAAATGCCCATTTCCAACGAACTATGAAAAGGCAAAACAGGACAGATTCATGTTATTCAAGGCTGAAGCTTCACATGGCAGAATAAAAATTTTCAGACCATACAACAGATTACTTCTCTCTGAATCAATATAAAATCAGACTTACTTACTTCAGAATTATCATGTTCAAATATTGAAAACTGCATTTCAAGAGCTACAGCTGCTGTGCAACACATCTTATTTTGTGGGAATTAAATGTACTCAGAAACATAAGGTAACTTTTAAAGAAGGCTAGTGAGGAAAATAAAAAGCCTATGCCTAAATAAAGCAAGATTTCAACAAGTTTACCCAGGTTGGACATATAATAGGAACTGTGCTACTAGTCATCTCAAATATCTTTGCAGCTAACTGCTTTCTAAAACCAAAATGTAATTACATATGTTTCAGTAATACGTATCTCTATCAAACTTACATTGTCATTCATACAACCATGCTCTAAGATTATATTTTAAGAAGGAGTAACACTGAAGTTAAAGGTTCAATTTCTCCTAAAGCCTAAGAAAATCTGGATCATTATCAGCTGCATCTCTTCAGAGAGAGAATGCTGTATTACTACTATCACAGTTCTGTGTCATATCCATCACACTATATAAATCCAAACACTCCTACAACTTATACGTCACATTAAACAGTCGATTTAAAAATAATACAACGCTGCCATCACCTGCCGTTGTTGGGCTGCTGTGGAGAATGTCTGGAATGGTCTGAAGGCTCTGACCTCTGGTCAGGAGATCGTGAACGACTGCGGCGGGGCCTGTCATGTGATCGGTTGGAATGATCTGATGCCAGCGACTGAATTTCTGAAATGTCTGTTAAATAAAAGTTGTTTTTTCATGAAATGATTGTAATTAAAATGGTGGTATGACTTGCTTAAATGGAAATAAGCTTTTGCAGAGAATTTTTATGAAGATGTTTTAAATCTATGTTTATCATTTCAAAACAACTAAACATAACATTCCTGAAAGAACAACTGCAGGAATAGGAACTGTATCTTTTCCTCCATTGTTTTTGAAGGAGTGGATTTCAATCACATTTGAACAAGAATTTAACCACGTGACAATCTTACTCCTAACTCTTCTCCTCCCCACCCTCTCATCCCACTTAGGTATTTCACATCTTCACAACACAGGGGATTCTTCTCTCCATTTGAAAATCAAGTTTATTTATACTCACCATCTCTTTCTGAAGCATTAGCAGAATGAATACTGTCAGAAAGATCCGGGACATTCAACAGTGTAGCTCGTTCATCTCGCTGAACAACCATCTTCAACTTGCCTTTTGACCTTTCTATTAGTGTTTTTGCATCTGCTAAGGACATATTTTCCGTCACTGTGCCATTTATCTGGAACAGAGTAAGAAAAGAGCAGATGTAAATTTACTGGGGAAAAAAGTAAAACTCCAGTAAAGATAGTGTTTTTCTGTCTGATGATATTTAGAAATAACTAGAGATATTTATCAAATTGCCACAACACAATGGAAAACTATTGAGCTCATCTTAACTATAACATAATACAGAAAATTATTTTCATCTTCCAAAGACAAAGCCTCTACCACTAATACAAAACTTCTAAAGCACTCGTTCATGTTTTTTGAATCAGCACTGCTATACTCAGAATGGTATGCTTTTCTGCACCAAAACATTTCCAGCAGTAACTTGAAATAAAAATTGTTAATATGAATCAAAAATCACTGGGTATACCAATTTCTACAAAAATCAAAATTTAACCTGAAGGCAAGTTCTAGTGTTGCTCAATAGGACAATTCCACAACATGGTATTGTATAACTAAACACATAGGGCCAAAGTCTCTACCATCCCAAACGTTTTCTACTATGCATTTACAGTGGGTGCTATTTGTCTGAATAAGGCCTGGAGAATAATAATAATAAAAAAGAAAACCACACACACAAAAAAGGCTTTATAATTTTCCTTTCCTTAGAGAAGTTGATTTATACTTAAACTTATTGATCTTTGAAATAATTTAATAAAAAAAGATACATCTCCTACTAACAATAATTATGCTATTGAGATAGCTAATTCTAAGAACAGTTATACCAATGAGTTTTCCCTTTGAACACACACCATCACCATTTACTATACCTTCAGGACAACATCTCCTTCCTGAATATTGCCATCTCTTGCTGCCAGGCTATCCTGTGATATTTCTTTCACAAATATGTGGCTTGCCAACCGTAGACCATACTCTTTAAGTAACAGCAATAAAAGAAAAAAGAAAGCTGATGAAGCTGCAGTAAAAAAAGGAGGGAGCTATCTCAAAGATTCACAACACTGCTTTGCGCAACATTTACAATGGAAACACAAAGAGGAGAGTGAACTTGGCACATGAAGGGCTGTAGTGGAATTACTCTATGGATTTATCATTACATTCATCTCCTTTCTAACTCTGCCTGTAATCATAGCTGTTACTCAATAGCTTAACTTTCCCTTTTCAAATAAGACAGACACTGAAGACTCAGCTGAAGTATATGGAACGTACGTAGCCACCGACTACCAGATGTCAGGTGCACAGCTGGGATTTGTTTACACTATTATCATACTTTACCTTTAATTCAGCACATATGTTTTGGAACATGAAAAATAACACCAGAAATACAATAGCAGTTTTTAAGTTTTCAGCTAGCTACTGGTAAAATGGGGAAACAAACTGTCAACGGCACTGTTCATATAGCCCATGAAGACCTTTACAAGATATTGACTGAAGCAGTTGGCCTTTAAAAAACAGCAGAAGTCTTAGCAAGAGAATTACATACAAGTTACCTTCATTTTTCCTCGATTTCACCAGTGTCACTTTGGTAGGTTTTGCAGGCTGACTGGAAGTAACCGACCTTCTGTCTGATCTTGGTGATAAGCTTCTCTCTCTGCTAGCACTTCGATCTCTTACCCAGCTCTTCTCATGCCTCCTGTTGACACTTGGACCACCACGGCTGGTTCTTGGATCACGTATCTCTTCATCATAACTATCATCCTCATTTTCAGACACTGGTTCAGGTTCTGGGCGAGCCACTGGAATCTGAATTTTCTTCATCCTTCGGATAGTCTACAACCAAACACTAGATATCGGCCTCTGGCTGCGCAATGCTAACAGTGTTACTAAACATCAGAAGCCAAGCTAATCCCAAAAACTCAAAAGAAAACACACAGACGTATTTGTGAATGCTCTGAATTCTTGCATCCTCATTATAAAATTCTATCCAATTAATACAGGAGACTCATCGATACAGATTACTAGAAACCTGGTTTTAAGGGGAGAGGTACATTTGTTTTTACAGTCGTTTTAGTTCTTTTTCGCTTCTGCAACAGTGGCGAAAGGATAAGAACAGCCATTGTAGCATAACACGATATTCTGTCTTCACAGAGCTGCATATTTGAACACTTTCTCTCTTTGCTTAAACCCACAAACCAGTTACTGGCACTGCTAAAAACTTCTTTTGCTAACATGTAATCTACTGTATACTCAGTGTGTTATTGACATCAACTCTCCTCAACTATGAAGCCTCCCAATCTTCCAGAGCTGTGCTTATGCAAGCCACAGAGGAAGTGGAACATTCCCACTGAAAGTTCAAAGTTGGTTTGCACTGACATAGGCAGCTTTTTCCAGAATAAGACCCAACTCTGTTTATGGCTGAACCAAGTTATACCATAAAGTTTTGATTAATTGCTTTTGTCTGCATAAATCTACACACAAAACACTGAACAGCTCACCATACTTAGTTTTGTTTAAGCTTTAAAGAATTGCTAAATCTGCAAGTGCAAAACACAACAGTTTTGGCAACTGTATTAAAGCACATGAGCACTAGAAATCTGTCAGCACAAAAACTTTTCTACAAGCCCTAGAAGTCTGTTTTTCTGAATTACAAATTTGTTAAACATTGTGCATTTGTGTCCTATTTTTTGTAACACAAATCTCAAACTTCTACAGAAAGTCAGATTACCACCCTTTAGCGATGACCTGTTCTGTTTTGCAAAGTTCAAAAGCCAGCCACTTTGAATAAATTACAAAATTATAGGAATTAAGGTAATTACACTGTATTTCAGCAAACTGTTTACTGAGCATAAAAAGAACTATTTTAGTGCCCGAACAGCGGGTAAAGTCCTTCAGCGTACACCAGTCTTTGAAAAACTTGATAAAAAAGTGCACTCAAGAAAGAAAAGAGATATTAAACAAAGGTGAGCATTGAGCTTTTGGCAAACTGAGAAGAACTATACCATAAAGGAAAGGAGTCTGAAGTATCCAGCACCACGTTACCCAAACATTATCATTCACATCCTAAAAGAAACCGTGTGACCCACATGATAAACATATCATGATCACCACTTAAACCTGAAGCATCACACAGGTATTATTTAAGTACTTTGCATCATGCATATATTTCATAGCAGACATTACACCATTTCACTCTTAACGACGGAATTTAAGTAAGCTTAAATCTTCAAGACATTCACTTACAATTTTGGCATTCTTCCCACTTTTCCTCAGCTGCTGAACAGCAAATGCATGCTCGACATTATCCATTGAAACTCCATTAACCATCGCAACACGGTCATTTTCTCTAAATGGAAGACATCACAATGCACAGCGTAAATACTTGATGCCAAGGGGAAAATATTGAGGAACGGGTGGCCCTGAACAAAATACCTGTATTATAAACCTACTATACAGTTACAGATAGGTATCTTTGCAAGCAAAACAACTAGGAGGCTAAGCTACCACTGACAAAGATGAATGCCCCTCAATTCAGAATCCAGGTATAGTTTGGCACTTACTGTAGCAGTCCTTCTGCTGGGCCTCCTTTCAGCACATCAGAAATAACTATAGATGTCTCACCACTCTGAAAGTGAGGATTATCTCTTCCTCCAGATATTGCAATACCAAATCCAAATCCAGGGGCCTATAATGTAACAAGAGAATTATTTCTACTTTCTAACATTTACATGGTCACAATTTGCATTCCTGTGTCAAACACAAAAAGGTCCTACGGTATGAAAACAACTTTTTGGAAGAAAGAAGGATCAACGAACCATGCAAGGCTATGCAATCCAAGAACAAGAGAGAGATTAAAAATAAATAAACAAAACACACTTAAAAAGCAGAGAGTTTCAGACTAACCACCTAATCTCTCCCAAGAGCACAATTAGAGTTCCTATTTGCATTTTTATGGTTTGGGCCTCAGGTGGTCATCAGTAATCTTCAGTAAGCACAACACACCATGCCACTGGACTAAGACACTGATTCAAACCTGTATCACTTCCTGCAACACTTTCTTTGAGGTTTCACATTATGGTATTTACCCAGCTTGACCTCACTTAGCGCAGGAACTGACAGGATCGCAGCGCACAGTAGTATGACTGCAGGCTCCGTTCTTCGGAATAATACCAAGATCACTTGTACCATTAAATACATCAAACCCTTGTCAGCACTTGCAAATCATCTGCATCTTAACAAAAGTAATTTGCTTCAATCTTTTCCCTCTAGGGTGACCTGCCACTACAGCAAGGTCAATGCCTCTGAAAAGTTATTCCTATTAGATATTTCAAGATACAGCAACGATGCTTGAATTTCTGCCTGGAAGCAGTGAGGGTGAGAAATAAACTTCCTAAATATAACTGATTTGCAAACTGTCTAGCTCTTCCATCATTATCCAGAAAACATTTTCAGAAGAATACTACCATTTAAGTGCCATATTTTGCTCAAGAATTTACGTTGAAATTTTTGACTATGCAAAATATTGTCACTTGATAGAAAACACCAGGTTTCGGTCAATTTCTCCTCTCCGTTTCACACCACACACACTCCATGCTGGCAGACTTATCACTTTCTTTTTCAGACTTTTTGACAAACATGACCCAGCTTTAGCAATGAGTTTCATAACCTTACAGTGACAGCAGAAGCAAAATGGCAGTCTGCATCTGGCTGTAAGACACATGACATTCAGCTTTTCAGACAGTAATTACTGCTCAAAAAATCTGTTCCCTATTTCCCCCCAAAACAGAGGTCATAAAAAGATGGTCCCTATTTAGCTTGTAAGCAGTGAATAGGACCATACAGTATTTAAACAAAGATTTCGAGATTCACTGTTCAGAATTTGATTTCAACCATTCGCAAACACTGTTGCCAGGTATGAAGAAAATAAGTTGGCCTAACAAGTGTGGGGGAGCAAGGAGGAGTATGTCTTGCTGCTTCTTTTGTGTTAACTTTAATTCATTAAAGAAAGCCTGGACATCTTTTCAAGATGAATCCTAGCCCTGATTTCTGGTTGATCTGGCTGGAATGCAAGAATTACTAAGTGAAACCCTGTGCCATGCAGAAGGACAGTCTGAAGGATCATAATACGTACTTATGGCCAGAGCTGAGGTTTTCTTTCAGTTTTGTCCTTTAAATAGTCAACAAAGAACATATAATAGCCTATGAAAATATGTAACAACACCCTCTTACAAAACAGTAATATTTCCCCTTTCTCATGCTACTGCTTAATCTTTCAGTTTTCCATTACTCTGATAAACAGAACTCAGTTTGCAATATATCTGGGTGGAGAAGGAAAGGGAGAAGAGAGATAATAACAAAGATACCTATCTCAAACTTCATTTAAACATTCTCTGTCTTTCCTTACATCATAAATAAAAAAAATCATGAGTGGAGAACTGGGAGAAGAGAAATACAATCCTTAGGCTAGGGCCAGCAGAGATGCAGAAATTCACCGTAAACCTTATCTTGCTGCTTGCCATTCTATCTTTATTTAGAGTAGATTTGTAAACCAAATCACCAATATTAAGACAACTAGTTTCATACCTCAGTGGTGGTGTTCTTTTCAAGAAGCCCTGAAACAATTCAGTCTCATATATAGACAGCAGTTAAAAAAAACCACAAGCCAGATAAGCTTTCTGATAACATACATCAGAGTCTTAAGAAATATTCCAAAATAGCAAGTTCAAATCAAACCCTTAATCTTTGGAGCGTGTTCAGAGGAGGGCCACAAAGATGATCCAAGGGCTGGAGCACCTCTGCTACGAGGACAGGTTGCGGGAGCTGGGATTGTTCAGCCTTGAAAAGAGAAGACTTCGGGGGGACCTAATAGCTGCCTTCCAATACCTGAAGGGAACTTACAGGAAGGCTGGGGAGGGACTTTTTACAAGAGTGTCCACTGACAGGACAAGGGGAAATGGGTTTAAGTTGAAGGAGAACAGATTTAGATTAGATCTTAGGAAGAAATTCTTCAGTACAATGGTGGTAAGACTTTGGAATAAATTGCCCAGAGAAGTTGTGGATGCCTCCTCCCTGGAGGTGTTCAAGGCCAGGTTGGACAGAGCCTTGAGTAGCCTGGTCTAGTTGAGAGGCGTCCATGCCCATGACGGGGAGGTTGGATTAGATGATCTCTGAGGTCCCTTCCAGCCTATGCCATTCTATGATTCTACGATCTTATTGAAAATTTAAGAGCTCAAATAAAAAACTTTCCCCTAGACCTACTTCACCCTACTACTTTTCATTTCATCCTGCTGCCTATTATCACCTTGAGATAAGCAATACACTGAACTACTCTCAGAAAACTAAATCTAGCTCCTAGACAAGTCTGGAAATAGCAAGGTGTCAATTGCTACAGATTATAAAAAGCATAAACATGTATCTTAAGTAAAATTGCATTTTTTATTAAAAAAAAATCTGCCACATTACAAATTCATCTCTCAGATGTTGTAGTGACAACACAAGAGAAAGAACTGTACTATTTTGCTCTCCCACAGTAAGGCAGCATGGGAGAAGCAGAAAGGTATGTACATACCTGGTTTCTGTTCTTTGGGGGAAGGAGACACACAGAATTTGAGTTCCAAGTATGAAGAAACCCACATAATACAAGAGGAACCATGCACTTCGTCAAGTCCTTTATAGTTAAGTATATAAAAACAGAAGATCTCTCAACAAAAGATAAACTGTAGCTACCTGATAAGCTTTAACTGAATTTGAGACTGGCTCAATCTCTTAAGGGCTAAGTAGCAGTCCATGAAGTTGGAAGGACAGTAAAGAAAGAGAACAAAAACTCTTGGTTAGAAGTTCAAGCCTCTCCTCCCCAAAAAGTGCTTCTAGTAAGTCTTTTGACAACAGTGCAGGAATTCACCAACTAAGTTAAATCACAGCACGGTCAGAGTGCTTATATGGTCTGTTGCAGATTCTCCAAGATTTCTGAAGCAGATCAAAAAAACCAAACAAGAACATCTAATGTTTGAACCATGTCAAAGTGTCAGAACTGACATTTGTATACTGTAACTACTAGGATTAAGTATCCTCTGTCCCTAATTTGTAATGACATCTCTGGAAAGTAAAGGTCAAAGAAATAAACCCTTCAAAAAAAGTGAGCAAAGCTGCACTCTTCAACACGAGCTCTCTATGTAAAGCACTCCTTTCTTTCCTAAGGCTCATCTTCCAAAGTTTAATATACTGTACCATCCCCTTTTTAAAGGGCCATTAGAGATCAAAGGTGTTCAAAAAACATGTGTCTTTTCTAGGTATGTGACAACATTTCTGAACTGTCATTGACTGGTTTATGTATCAGTAACTGCCCACTGCAACAACGCAGAAACGTCATTTAAATATTTAATACCTCAGATGCTGATATGTTTAAAAAAAGCTAATCAGCAGACTACACAGATAGAATACCTTACACAGTACCTGCTAATGTGGCTGCTTTATGTTTTCTTCAGAAAGAAACTGCATCCAAATGATATCTATTTTCCTAAAATTTGATGATTACTATCAGAACTGCTTTTTGTTTTCACAGTTTTTGCTACTTTTATGGAGCCCAAGAAGAGTTAAAGGAATCCTACTCTGCCATACACAGGAGCAAGAGAATAGCACAGGCTTAAAACAAGATAAAATTGTCAGCACTGGAATTACCAGCAGGACAAAAACGAGTCTCAAAAGACAAATAAATGTAGTCAAGAATATTCTATGTATCTTCACGAATATACATGCCACCTAACAAACTATTTGCATTTGCCCTCTATTTTTAAGGCTGCTCATTGTAATAGCTGCTAGTGGTACTTACTCATTAACTAGTTTTAATCAAATAACACTAATAATCAATTAAAATGAAAAAAGAAACCACAGTTACATAGTTTCTTTGAGGCACTTGGAGGGACAACAGATCCACTTGCCATTAAGTAGGTACTTGTGAAGAGACAAGAGTTGATCTAGACTGACACCAGCTCTGGACTTCGCTCTTTCTTCCAGGTGGACTTAATAAAGTTTTGGACAAATTTATTCTGGATCAGATTCTTCTAGTGACTTGTCTACCATCATTTCTGAAGGCAATACTGACAGAGAACAAAAAAGTTTGGTGAATCCCACGAGCTTCACAGGCGTACCAACAAAACATGAAGCCAGTAACATGAAGCTTGACTTGCATCTATGCTGTAGAAATTCAGCACGTGTTAAGTGTCATTAATTCCATCATTCACAGACAGCTTACTGCTGTCAGGTAAGCCAAAATCAGAAGGACTTTTTAGTTTGCCTCACTAGAGAAAGCAAGTTTAGGTCTTCAAAACGTTTTGTTTGGGTTTTTTTTGGTGGAGGTTTGTTGTTGTTGGTTTGGTGGTGGTTTTTTTCGTGTGGCTGACAGTAGATGGTCTCTAGAAGTTCTATAGCTCAGCTAAGTGGAGCAGATAAACTGACATAAAACATTCAACAACCAGAGTTGCATTTTGAGTCTATTCCAAATCTATTACCTTCTAGGTATCTTTGAGGATAACTGAGATCTGGATGCATTTCACTCCTTCTGACTAAACTGAGGCAACCTCATTTACTTGACAATCTAATACTACAAGAATGTCACAAATAGGGTAAATACTAAGCACAATTTGCTTAACATTAGCAGAAGAGTTTTAGTCTTGGTTTTGTTAGGTGGCAGATGGAAAACATTGTCTTTAATTGGCTAAGTTAATGCTATCAAAGTTATTAGCAGTACACACCACCAGCCTTGAACTTCTAAACGAGACTTACTCATCTAACAAAAAAAGAGTTAAATCAGTAGAGTTGACAGAAGTCTGGCACATAAAATACCATAATCAAAACTATAATCAAAGCACACTTTCTCTTCTATTACTATACAAGGACTTCTGACTATGCTGCAAGCACAACCAAAGACATGATTTCTAGTTCCTACCTATTATTTCAAAATTTATTCAAGGTAAAACCATATTGCAGCATTTCGTTATTCCTTTGCGCACTGACTGAACTCATCATTTTCAGGTTTCACTGAAGTTACTGCTCTTATTAACCAGAAAAATATCCCCTTGAAGAGAAGCTTAGCTATCACTAAGTCTACTAGCCTATTTCTTATTGCTATAGCATTTTTTTGTTTCTTTTTGAATATAAGACATATTGATCTAATCAGTAATAGGAGTAAAAAAATGTTAGGTTTACACAGGTTCCAAGGATGACTGGACAGCTTCAGGAAGAAAACATCAAGGGCCACTACATACAGAAATATACTTCTTGCTCAAGAACTCGTTGATTTAAAAATTGTTGGAAGCTTGAAGAGTAGCCTAGGTAAGTATCACCACACATTTTTCCTTTACTTATACTTTTCTTTACACATGTGGTACATTAGACAGCCTTCCGTTCAAACTGAGCAAAACTGCTCTCTTAAGAGGGCAGGTACTGAAATGGTTATTTTGAATCAACAACATTAAACTCATTAGGTTTGTAGGGAGAATTAACATTTCATCTGACCAGCTGGTCTATTCATACACATTTATAGTCACAAAGGTCAACTCATCTGTTCAATGCTACAATTCTAAAATGCCTTGCTCATATTCTGAAGAACTGAAGACAAATGACATAACTTGCTGCCTTGAGAAAACTCTTGTGCATTTCCCTTTTGTTGGAACAAATATAGCTATTTGGGCCATGATCCCACGGTTGCTTTAATACCAAGCTGCTGCCAGAAACAGTATTGCACCTAAGTAACGCATTCCTTACTGCCTCTCTTGTACAGCTTCACAAAAGCTACATCAGAAAGCAATTTAAGAGCAACTCAAATAAGAGAAGAGTCACTCTAAATGTAAAAGCTGTCTTTCTATTCACTGATTCCTAGTACATATTCCTTCGTGCCAGGTGCACATTCTAACCACTCAAAATCACTATTTTCAGCCACTAACTTAAGTGGCAAGCAAATAAGGCAGTTTTGAACACATTTATTTATACTTAGCCACATTGTTTCATGTGCCTGCAAATAAAGTTTATAATATTTAAGTATAGTTACAGCACAATCATTAATGAACACTTGGATTTCTAACTACTTTCAGTTACATACAGTCTGGCATGGTTATTCGTAGGCAGGCTTATCTCTGAAACCTAACAAACAAATAGAGCTACTATCGAATGGAGCTTTTACAACACTTCTAAATTTATACAAAGGAATATGACAGTTTCCTTTCCTTCTACTTCCTGACATCTGGCTTTTTCCTATTGTTTTCAAAAGCTACCAGTATCCTGCGTTAGGCACACACAACCAATTGTAGGAACTTACCCTGTGAAGAGTCACTGTGTGTTGTTCCCATATAGCTGTTTCTTCCATTGTTGTGCTCTAAGGGGAAAAAAACCCAAAGATTAGTCCAGCTATTGAGAGTGAAGTCTAAACAGCTGTATAATACCACAAATAGTGTTACTTTTGAGTGTAAGTTTCTAATACTCATATTGAATAGCTACAGAGAAGTAGGGCTGGCTCTTTTGCTACACATTTCCTGTCTTTATATGTCACATCTGAACTTCCTGTGCTCCTAGGGAAGAGGGGCAGGGGGAAGAATAGGCAAAATAGATTTCTAATTATTACATATGTCAGAACTTAAAGTTATAAAGAAGTTCAAAGAGAAGGACTACCAGAAGCATTTGTGATGTAGGCTTTTCTTGGTTGCTCAGTAAGCGTACATTAAACGAAGCTTGACCAAGGCCCACTTTCAGTTTTCCACTGTGATCAGTTGTGTTTATATCCTAACTTACATACTTCACACCTTTGTCAACATTCTCCTTTTGCTTGTTCTAACTGTATGCAGATTACCACTAATTCATGAATGCCCAGCTGTAGATTACTGTACCTGTGCTACTGTATTATGCATACAGGTCACATTTAACAGACTCCACAGTTTAGTGCAGGGTAATTTCCTTGGTGAACAGTAGCACCGTGCAGAAATAAACAAGGTCCTCTCTAAGAGAACCCGATTAAACAGTAACATTATGACAATATTTACATACCTGCATTTCTGCTGAAAAGAGCAGACACTTGCACTACTTAATGTGCCACAAGCAGTAAACATTCAGAAAGCGGAAGATGGCATGAGGGAGATGAAACCAGCAGAGCCAAAGGCTTGAAAACAGGCAGAAAGGCAGCAGGAAACACATAGCTAACAGCATGAAGTCTCCTGCCATCCTGCTGCTGTATTTTCCACCTTTCCAGAGGGAGTGCCCAGTATTTTGCTCCATAACCATCTCAGAAGCCAGCAATCCACTAACTAAAGAACAGAATCAAAACACAAACATCTCTGCAATATGGGAGTGTTCTTTTTTTGAATACTTACTTTACACTTAATTTGTTTCTGCTACAGTAACTCAGCCACTACAACAAAAAGAACTCCTAACTTTTAATCCAGTCCTGTATTATAATAGAGAACAGCAGCAGGAGTGTTTACTCCCACGATCAATACCTTTGAAAACGTCATCCGATTTCAAAACATAAGAATTTGCAACTAGGTTTAAAAAGTGAGTTCTTCCCACGACCTCAAAAAGTTGTGGGGTTTTCCCCTTCACATTTTATGCTCTAATTTCAACAGTTCGGATGTGCTACATTATTGCTCTTTTCTCTTTCAGGGTTCACTTCTCCTGAAAGTGTTCGTGTAACTTAATAGGGATACATTTCATTCAAACAGCCTTCCCCCCCAACCTCTTCACCCAGTACGAAATGTTACTCCTTTGCATTGCAAATTGATTCACTATCCCAGAAATAGATTATTTCTCTCCAACTTTTTAAAAGCAGATCAAATATATATGAACATACTAATAGTTTACACACACAAAGCCATCTCTGAAACAAAACAGAGCGTTTTGCTTGCTAAACTGTTAATGAATACCAATTTCCTTCCCTATTTCTGATGCTCTCATTCTGTCTTAGTTTTGGCAACTGCTTCTCAGGCTAAACATCTCGTCAACAAGTGAAGAATTATCTCTGCAAGTAAACTTCTAAAAGAAAAAGCCTTAAGTAGCTCCCGTTCAGAGAAAGGTGC